ATGATGGTGCCAACTTGGGCCAGTGAAGCAACGTCCTCCACAACTAGACCGAAGAACAAAAAACGACAGCAACATGTCTGTTCCCCTTCCACAATTCCCCAGCACTGTTCCCATCCCCCCAATTCCCCAATAAAAATCTTAAAAAAAAATTAATATAATTTCAAATTATAACCTTTTATTTATACGAGCAAATCTAATAAGAGTAATATATGTTGCAAATTCAAGTCAACTTTTTACAAGTTATTTACAAACAACTGTCCAAAGTCAAAATATTTTTTTATTGTGGTAAAATATTCATTATATAAAGTTTACCATTTAAACCATTTTTAAGTGCATATTTCAACAGCGTTAAGCACACTGATATTGTTGGGCAACTGTGACCACTATCCATCTCTATAATGTTTTCATCTTTGCAAATTGAAGCTCTATACCCACTAAATACTAACTCTCAATTCTCCTGCCTCTCAGACCCTGGCAATCACTATTCTACTGTCTGTCTCTATGAATTGGACAACCTGTAGGCACCCCATATATTAGTGAAATCATACAATATTTGTCTTTTTGTGTCTGGCTTATTTCACTTCACATAATGCTTTCAAGGTTCATCAAAGTTGTAGCATTATAAGAATCTCATTCATTTTTAAGGCTAAATAATATTCCTTTGTATGTATATACCACATTTGCTTATCCATTCATCCATCAATGGACTCTTGGGTTATTTCCACCTTGTGGCAATTTTGAATAACAGCTGCCATGAACATGGGCATACAAATATCTGTCTGAGTCTCTGCTTTCACTTCTTTTGGATATATACCCAGAAGTGGAGTTGCTGGTTCATTTGGTAATTCTGTGTTTAATTTTTTGAGGAAGTGTTCTACTGTTTTCCACAGTGGCTGTAAAGTCAGAATAGTTTCAAAGACATACTTGTAATTAGCTTTTACAAAAGGTTATTATGATTCATCTGTAATGGTATAGTCCCCACTACAATGTTCCCTGAATTGGGGGATTATGTGTTTCCAATTTTGCTCTTTAAGAATTAGAATAGTTTTAAATGAAGAGAGATCCAAGCTGGCATAGTAGGTAAACACTGTGCCTGCTTCCTTCCATGAAAACATTAAAATTACTACTAATTCTAGAAAAATCAACCTGAAGAACCATTTGAAGTCTGGCTTAACAGAAGCTTTATAACTAAGGATATAAAGAAGAAGCAATAGAAAGACTGGTAGGAGGGGTGGAGACGTGAAAAGGGCTGGCCCCAAACCTCTAAGTGGCAGCTAAATATCAGGAGGGATCTCTCAGGCATGGAGGTTCTCCCCAGAGGAGCTGAACTTATCATGGTGATCACTTCTTTAGCTATATAAGTGCTGAATAACTATGTCATACCTCTTTAACTAATATAATATTGTATCTTAGCTACATTTGTTTTTTAAATCTTAAAACAATAGAATAATTTAAATTTAATTTTCCTTAGCCTCTAAGTGAAGTATAAAAAAATATTGAGTATATAGTTGTAGTCTCTAGGTGATATAAAAATAGGAATTTTATAGAAAAATGTGTGTTGAAAGCTCTGGCCTAGCCCTCGTGTGACATTGGTATCTAACCAATTTCCTGGAAATGATGGGAATGGTTTATTACACCGTGACTAAAAATTAAAGCAGGGAAATCTCTGCAGCACTGTAAATCTTAACTTCCAATTAACAATTAAAACCTGACAGCAACACCATTTACGAAATGATATCATCATCACTGTGCTTTTTTTCTGCTGCTCAACTGATAAATTATCTGTACTGTTCTATATTTTGTCCTCTCCAGACTCTTTCTTGTGTAAATATTTAAAACAACTAACTAGGTGATGAAAACCTGAGTGCTTTCCTGAGACTTAACCCAAACAGCGAGGGGTTTTGGATGTTTCATTTTGATTGCATTCTCTCGGCCAATTTAGTGTTTCAGAGTACAGGTACTGTCAAAATTCAAAGACACGATGAAAATGAAAAGCAGGTACTGTGGAAACGAGTGTGCATTTGAACTAAACCCTTAACTGAGAGGTTCATTTGGGAACCTTTTGTTCCTTAATAATATGATTTTTAACTCCACTGTTTCATCACACACATATGGCAATGCATTGATATTCTAGGGCTCAAAAAGATATCTCCAAGTTAAGCTTTTCCAAAATGAAAGGCTGAAAAATAAAATTGGGTATAAGGTTTGATGCCAGTTCGTCATTTTTGACAGCAGAACATCATAAAAGACCTCTTTCACCCATTCTTGTCTGCCTGTCCTCAGGGTGAGTAGATTTGAGGGCTAGTACTGAAACATATTTATTTTTTCAATAATTTTGAAATAGGATAGCATGTGATGCTTAACTAACCTAGTGCCTAATAATCACTTATGATGTGAAATGAAATTACAGTACATACTCAAGTGCTATAGACTACCAAAGTGTTTTACTGTTGTACGTTGGATTTGCATTAATTTCTCTCACCTTTTTGGAAAACAAGTGTTCACAATAGTTTAATTTCCTGCAATAAAACTCCTGCCTATTAATTTGATGTTTCTTTGAAGCTACTTCTTTCAAAGACAAATTAAATCTAGGCTAGTTCCTCTGTAACACTATTTTTTTAAGGAGGAAAGCCACAGAAATAAGAGCCTGCATGTGAAATCCATCACAAATCTTACATGATGGGTGTAATGTGGGCAGTGGAGAATTTAGTAACTTCCATAAAGAAAAACTGAAGTCATTTTTTAGCATGAATCTTGTGTATAATTTCATGTCTGGCAGCATGGGCTAGTAAAATACATAACATTATAAATAATGGACTTTTAGGCCTCTCCTTAACAACCATTGTCAGGTACACATTTATCCGGCTTCGTGGTTACAGCACATGTAATCTAAGTGGTAGCCAGCACTGAAATCACTCGAGAAGGCTCCCATGATCCATCTATTCATTATACAATCTCAGTATGAGCCCCAGCCATTCTTAGTACTATTCAAGTCTCTCAGTACTCATCTCTCCGAAGTTCCTAACCTCTACATTTCTTCTTCTCTCTCCCACCTCTGGGCTCTAGTTTTATCCCCTTCCTTGTTCCTCGTGTAAGCAGCCACCTTCCTTAAGCACCATTGCTCTCCCCTAATATTTTCTCCCTGCCTAGCCTCTCCCAGCCAACTTCTTAATAACTTCTCAGACTTTTTCTTCCTGAAAAAACAAAAACACCAAGTAAAAGCTTTATATCCTTTTCTCCTCTTTTTCTGACTGAAACGTATTAATGTATTTCCTAGCTTCCTAGCTAAGTGCATGGTCTCTACTAAGAAGGTTTTGAGTGACATCAACCAAACTGGGTCCTAGTTCAGGCCCTGCATGGTCACTTCTCTCTCAAAGTCTGTTTTCTTGTCTGTAATCGGAGGAAGGAGAGATCCTACCACATACAGCTTGTTCTAAAAATTAAGCAAGAGAACATATACAGAGTACCTGTGTGAAGCCCGGCCAAGTTGGCCTCAGGAAACACCATCTATTATTTATTACTATTATTATTATTATTATTATTATTAAATGATCACTTTCCTTTCAAATGACAACTGGAGGTTCTACTTATGTGACTACTCATCCTTTTTTTCTCAGAATTCAGGATACAATTAATTGTGATACTTAAAGGTATTACTCTGTATTAAAGCAACTGATTCTAGCACAATGTTTTGTAGGCAGAATCACCCATAGTCACTAAGCCTACTTCAGTCCCATGAGCTGCTGGGGCTAGCCCAAGGGATCTGGTACAGACTCTATTTTAAACATAAGAAACCTCAGGCACAGGGACATGAGACAACAGATGAATAAGCCCAAAGCTGTCTGTATTCAGGATGGTGAACGAAATTCTAGTCGTGACATCAAATTGCCAGTGCAGACCCCTCTGGTTTGTTATCCTTGGAGAAAACTCAGAGAATTACTAAAGCCTCCATGTTCCAGGCTTTTCTATGGAGGAGAACCAGGATGTGGGGTAAAATGTAGCCGCTTTCTTTTTCCTTTGGGGACTAGCCCCTAATCCATTCGACTCGGCCTAACTAGACGGAGGTGAGAAAGCTCTCCCAGGATATTTAGGGATTATCTACAACAGATTCCTCAGCAGAGGAAGTGGGCTCCCAGCACAGCCACTTCGAGGATTTTGGAGCTACAAGCCTGCTGTCCCTTCCTGGAGTAGAACAGGAAGCGCCAGCAGGCTGGAGCCCAGACTTGGCATGGAGGTGGGCGGGGTGGGGACGGGGCTCCATGGGCGTGGCCTAGGGTTAGGGTGGGGCGTGGCCAGGACACCCGGACACAACCCGGGGGCCAGGGGGCGGGGAGAAGACTAGAAGGGAAAGTGAAGTGGGAGACGGGCAGGGAGACATTCAAGGTCCGGGAAGTTGGCCCTGCCGGAGTTCCCAGGGGAGAAGGCAACGCTCAGCGACCTGAGGGAAGGCGCCCGGGAGCCGGAGCGGGCACAGGAGCTGTGGGCCGGGTAGGAAGTGTGGGGGGTCCCACGCCAGCAGCCGCCGAAGCAAGGAGCTCTGCGCGTTAATCCCCGCAGGGAGCCTCCGCGGAGGTCCGCCCTGGGGAAGGAGTCTTAAAACCGCCCGCGCTTTGGCATGCTGCTGCCTTTCCACGAAAGCTCGGGGGAAGCAGCAAAATCGGGGGAAGCTGCAAAGTCGGGGATCTTGAGGCTGCGCGAGGCCTAGGAGGCTGGCCTGGGCTTGGAGGTGGCTGGTTGCCCCTAAGTCCGAGGTACGGCGAAGCCTGGCTTGAAACCCGAGGCCCGAGAGGCCCACGTGGCCAGCGCTCAGTGTTGCTCAACTGAAATGCTCTGGGGTTGCGGTGGGCAGCCGTGCTGGGGTGCTCATTCTCCTTTCATAAGCTTTGGAATCATACCTGTAAGCCTTGGGCCTCAGCCTCACCTTGTATGTTTCAGTCTCATGGTTCTGATATCTTAAAGATATCCCAAACACACTTAGGTGCTCCTTCCCTATGGATTTGGGGAATGGTATTTACAACCGCGATTTTTGGATCTTTGGGGTACACCTCAGGTGCAATGGACACCGCCTAGGGGAGCACGTTTACAGATGAGAACTTCCAAGTTGTGTAAGGTCCATTTGTCCTTCCTCCACTACAGTGGAGGAAACTGACAAGCATTTACTCCTGTCCTGAAGTATCATCACATTCATTGTCATACAGAATGAACATCAGTAAGAAAACAGCCCTAAGACGTATGACACCTACTTGTCCAGTTACATTTTACTCTACATAGACAGGAGGGGTGTAGAGCAGTTATCCTACAGGCCTGACGTAATTTCAGAAATAACCAGCCCCCTTCAAAAATAAAAGTCAGCGCACACTGCAAAGAATAAGATCAGATAACTTGCTGACTGTTGACTGCAAGATAGCAACTTAATTTTTAAAAAGGATACTTCAAACACAGAATTAACAAGGTGCTACTTTATGAAATTAGGTTTGCATTGGTGGAGGCTAGCTGTTGCTTTACGGTTATAAAAATTACTAAAATATATGGAATATGGATTTTTGGAATAAAATAGCAAAATGCATTTTATCGCCATCCCTTGATCTTAGAATCATAATAGGAATGCCCAAGCCTGTATTTTTTGACAGTCAAAGCTAATCACCAAGGGTCTTCTCTGAGCTCTGTGTGCTCTACTTTAATCTTCTCCACAGCCCATTGAGATATCCGGATTCATGTGAGAAGAGGCAGGTAAGGCACACAAAGGTGAGACTCCACTGCTGGAAATCTTAGAAAAAAAAAAATCTATGTTTTTTGAACTCTACAACCTGTGCTCTTATCCTGTAGCCACTTGTACTTTGTTTTTCACAAGCAGACATTAAGAGAAGAGGTGGCTGGTTTAAAGAGCTCTGGACCCATGAGTAGGGCCTAATTCTAGTTCTGGTTCCAGCTCCTGACTTTGTGCTTACTTGTCCTTTCCTAGGCACATGAAAGTAATTGATCTCTATGTCTCTACTATATCTAAACATCTATAGATTTGTAAAAATAAGATTCTGTGTTTACCAATTAAGGATATTGCTGGTGACATTTGGCACTGAAATTACCAGGCGGTCCATAAGGGTCAGTTTATTCATTCGATTCATGTGCATGTGTACCCTGAGAGCCCTGGGCTCCAGGAGAGAATGGGCAGATGAGGAGTCCCCTTGGACTTTCTATTCTGGCTTGAGGCAGAGGAGCCTGAAGACACACAAAGGGAACGAACACACAGTTAATTAACAAACAGCTACCAGTTGTAAACTGAAATCTGTGATGAAGAAAAATGGGGTGTGGGGGGAGGAGGGGGTATCTTGGATATGGTGGGAAAAACACCTCACCAAGACCTTGTGATTTAGAAGGATGAGTCAGACTTAATGATGCTTATTGCCTGCCATGGGACCTGCAAGGGCAAAGGAGGCATGAAAAGAGCTTGGCATGTTCTAGAAATTGCCAAAGATGTTTGTGGGTGGAGTTTGGGTGATTGGTTCCAGATGAAATTGGAGACATGGGTTGGGACCAAGTCATACAGGGCTTTTTGTGGCCTGGTGAAGACTCTAGATCAGTGGTTCTCAACCTGTGGGTCGCGACCCCTTTGGGGGTCGAACGACCCTTTCACAGGGGTCGCCGGGTACTCATATGTGGGCGTATCTGCATGTGGGCCTGGAGACGGATAGAGGAGCAGTGTCTCGGTTTCTAAGACCATCGAAAATATGTGTTTTCCGATGGTCTTAGGCAACCCCTGTGAAAGGTTGAGAACCGCTGCTCTAGATCTTCAACTCATGACAGTGGAAAGCCACTGAAGGGGAGTGACATGAAGAGGGCTATGATGAAGCTCAAATGAAAGGTGATGGTGGCTCAGGCTAGGGTGGTGGCAGCAGAGACAGAGAATGTGGACTTTTTAAATGTCACTTTATCATGTTCTGGTTACTGCTGTTTCTCCAACACCTGACGCTGTGCCTTATGCAGAATAGGCCAGGAATATATTTTGTTGCATGAATGGATTTAATAAATTGTTTGGGTTTGGAGTCCATAGAACTTGTTGATGAATTGGATTTGGTAGTGAAAGAAAAGGAGAAATCAAGGATAGTTCTCAATATGCTTAGAAAACTGGGTAGATGTGAATATCAATTAATTCTTGCTTCATTAATTGATTTCAAGTTTGTTTTTTTTCAAAATATGTCACAAATCCACAAAAAACAAAGTTGGTATTTTGACTATTTTATGCATTTAATAATCATTTGAGCTTCTTTGTATATATATGCCATTATTTTTACATATAAAAATTCCTATTATTCATTTTTTAAAAACACAAAAATATAGAAAAATGTACATCTGCTTTCCTAAACTTTCCTTCTGGAAGTTTCCATCCACAGTCAGTGGATGGAAATATTCATTCTGATATATCTGACCACCATGGCAAAAGGGCTAAGAAGATGAAGGCTAGGGAGAGAATAAACTGGGAATTGGGGTAAGTGAGAGCGAAAGTTCTGTTTGGTACATATTAAGTCTGTGGTGTGTGGATTAGTTAACTATTACTGCATTGAAACAATCAGCCTACCATTTAGCAGATTAAAACAACAAACGTGTTATTGCACAGTGTCTGTGGGTCTGAAGTTTGGACGTGGGGTAGTTGGGTGGTTCTGGCTCAGGGTCTCTCATGAGGTTATAGTGAAGCTGTCAGTCAACGTGGTAGTCTTCTCAGGGCATGACTGTTAAGACCGGCTTTGGGCTTTTCCGCGTGGCTGTTGACAGCTGGCCGTTAGCCAGAGACCTCAGTTCCATGCCATATGGATCTCTCCATGGGGCTGCTCATGATATGGCCTCCCCTAGAGCAAATGACCCGAGAGAGAAAGAGAACCCAAGATGGAAGCCACCATCTTTTTAGAACTTGATCTGTGGATATGACATACCATCACTTCCGTGGTTGGTCACACAGACCACCCCTGGTGCAGTGCGAGAGGGTGTGAATTCTAGGAGAGATGGAGTTGTTAGGGGCCACTGGACAGGCCGCCTACTACAAGGTCTCTGAGATGTCCAAGCAGAAATGCCATACAGGCTATTGGGTATAGTACACTGTAGCTCACAAGAGAGGTCTGGGCTACAGTTAAAGTTTGACCCAGATAGGAACGAAGCACAAGACAACATATATCCAGATAGAACATTTAGAGGCTTGAAAAGTCTGTGTCCCTGTACTTAGTGCCCTTTAGGTCTAGGGCTTGGTCATAAGATCCCTGGGATTAGGTAGAGGACCTCAATGTAAGGCTTTTAGAGGTTGCTCTTGGAATTAAGCTTGAAGACAAAATAATGAACTGTATACATAGCATGAGAGAAGCTGGTGACCTTGGAAAAATATCCATCCTTGCTTCCATACTGCTTTAAAGTGTTACTATATGAGGAGTCCTATTCCTCAAACGTCTTAAACTACACAGTAAGAAGGTGAGCATTCCTGGTTAAGCTGTGTCCTTCCTGCTCAGTAGTCCTATGAACTTCACTGTTACTAGGAGGACCTGAGATGGTTGTTAAATGCTTTTCATACACCAGTGTGGCCTCCTCCTGTTTTCTTTAGCTGCTCTTCAGAGTATTTTTTCGATAGTCCAGGTTTTTCTAAAAAGACTCATTAAAAAACAAACAAACAAAAAACCTTCTCATTCATAAACATCCCTCCCTCATTTAAAAAAAAATGAAGAAAAATAAAATGCCTGCTGCCACCTGGCCATCTGGCACAAACGGGCTCTGTGGTTCTAACTACCTGTTTCCTGAAAACAGTATCTGCCTGAGTACAAACGCCTGTGCATACTCAGCATGGCAAGCATGAGTGTTAACCATCTTCCTGTCCCCTCCCAGTAAGGCAGGGCCACGTGACTTGGTTTGCTCAGCGAAATATAGGTGGAGTGACCTGTGTTACTTCCAGGTGGAAGCTTTAAAAGCCAATGAGAAATTTGTCACACACACACTTTTCCCTCTGCCAGAGTGACCACCCATTTTCTAGATCATGGCTGTTCTGCTAGCTTGGGTCATGGGATGAACACAATGAGCAGATTCCCCCTGTTACTCTGTTAGACATATAGTGTGAGCTAGAAAGAAGCTTTTGTTGTGCAAGATAAACAGACAGACACTGAGATTTGGGGATCTGTCTATTAATGCAGCATGCCCTAGCCTATTCTGACTAATGTATGTACTCAGGTAATGTCTGAGCTATGTGTGTGCAAGGATGACCGGTCTCCAGTTTACCAGACACCTTGGGATCCTAAGAGGGAAGGTGTTGTAGGGGGCTTGCTCTTATAACTAATGTTCCTCTTACTGTTGGTGGGCTAGCACGTGCCTTTGTTTCCTTAATGTTCAAGTCAGCTTCATGATTTTAATCAAAAGTGGCAAAAATGGCATTTAGAGGTTTAATTACATTCTCTAAGGGCAGCTAGTGTTAAAGTGAAAATACATAAATGTTCAATGCCCAGAGGGGATAGGAATTAAAG